TGATGTGCTATGGGCAAACATACACCTTAGATAGAGAGAGTAGGTGCGTGGGCCCCACAAGGAGCTCTGAGCCTAGTAAAAATGTTTAGCATATGTATTTATATAAATACATGGTATTTGGATTGATTGTGACCACTCTTGTATGATTTGTGCATTTTGAGGGTTTAGGGTCCATTTTGAGAAATGGCACCTGGGTGGTCAAATTTTGATGTATGGGGGTTTTCCATCATTTGAATGTTCTATCAGGTGTTTTTAGTCTTATTTGATGTGTCCAAAGTATTCCCACAGGTTTGTGACCATTAGGATGAGATTTGGACAATTTTGAAAATGATTTTTACCGAAAAGCTGTACTTTTACATCCGGGTGTCTAAATCTTAATCCGACCGTTGGATTTCTCTAAACTTTAGGTCACAAGTAAAACCTTTTATAAGCTTCGTGTAGGCTTTAGAATCACATCGATCGGATATCAGACGGAGAAATGATGCACTCCAGAATTTGGTCTGGAGGTGCTGTTATGACAGCATTAAATTGCTGTCATGACAACTATAGTGTTAATGTTGTAACCTGCATAAAATTCAATCCGTCCGTTGGATTTTTTCAAAATTTAGTATGCTAATAGTATTCTTTAAAAGTGACATGTGAGCTTTGGAATCACTTCGATCGGAGGTCAGATGATGAAATGATGCACTCTGAAAGTTGGTCCGGAAGTGCTGTCATGATAGCTTTTTAGCTGTCATGACAGCAAAAATAACTAATTTTTTAACATGTTTAATTTTCAATCCAACCATTGGATCTTTTTAAAATTTGGTATACTTATATTACCTTTTGAATGTGACGTGTGAGCTTTAAAATCACTTCGATCGGAGGTCAAATGATGAAACGGTGCCTCCCAGAAGTTGGCCCAGGAGGGCTGTCATGACAGCAATTTAATGCTGTCATGACAGCATCTTTTTATTTCACTTTCGTCTAGCTTGCTTCCGCGTGCTATAGGTAGAACCTATAAAATTTTTTAAAGGCTTTAAATGTTTAATTTGCAACTGTGTATTTGCTTAGTGATTTAAATGATTTATTTCCTAAGTTGGTTTAGGACTAATTCCTTAACCACACTTAGTTTATTTGAATTGTGTGATTTTTGGATAACACTCGGGGCAAGTGTTACGCCCAATGTCCTTTACCATAATTCCTTGGAGATCCAAGTGAACGTGAGAAATTACAAGTACGCTAAGTGATATGAAGGGTTTAATTATATTACTAGTGCACTAGCTAATACAACAAGTGCTCCATAGAGACAAAGGAATAAAGATGAATACAAACTAGCCTAAGAAGTTGAGCTTTCATAGATAATGCGATGTGTACTAGGCTAAGTAAGTTTGGTAGATTTGGTAAAGTATTAAGAGTATGAGTTACCTGCTCATTGCTTATTTATAGGAAAATGGCAACGGTATGCTCCTTCAAATTTGAACTTTGGTGCCAAAAAGAGTAGATAACTATCTGCGCCCTTAAATCACCAAGGGTTCACTTCATCATATGAAGTGATGAGAGTGAGTGTGCTATGAAACTCAAGTGGTAGGCAAAATAGGTGAGACTAAATCATTTAGTTCCTTAAACGTGGGGTTCCACTCAAGTTCATAAGGCTAGTTTGCTATTGGACTAGGATTTCCTTTAGATTGGATTGGGTCTTGATTAATCTACTATTTCAAGCCCAAAACACCAAATTTGGTCCAAACAGTAGGGTAAAGAGCCATTTGACCTCTATAGGTTTAGGAGCATTTGGGACCCTTGAATCATTTTTAATACAATATTTTCTCTCAACTTTTGAAAATAATGCAGTGTTGCCTCTACCATTAATAAAAATTAATTTTTAACATTAGTTGACCAAAAAATGATAAAAAAGGACTAAGAAAATTAAAAAATACCCAAATTACAAATAATAACTCAAAAAATTACAAAAAGTGATTGTTATTTTTTAAAATCATTTTCTATTTAAGTAATAATTAAAATTAATTTATTGAGCATTCAGAGATGTGGCATTCAGAGAAGCCCCTCTGGCTCAGTGGCATGGAACCACTTCCTCCCTTTGGGTTGGATTTAATGATACATTATTGCCAATGTTTAGGGATTTTAATATTTATTGAGCACATGGACTCATGTTTGTGATCATGCCTCTTTAAATATTTCTACATGTTATATGCTTCGGGATGATTGTAAACTATGAATTATTGAGATGTATTTTTGTACTTTTTGAGGCATTGATGAGATTTGATAATGTTGGATAGTTTGAAATAACATATGGCTAGGCCATGTGTCTTAACTTCTTGTTGAATTTGATCAATTGATCCAGTTGTGGTTTTTGGCTTTGGCTTATATTTATAGGGAACATAAAGGTAAAAAAATGATATTTTGGCCTAAGTGGTACTTGGGAGGATAATTGTATAAAGATAATGTGGTACATAGACCAAAGCCAAATGTTAGATGATATTGTATTAAGTTTTCTTTGTATAAATTGTGTTAGGTGACTGTAACCTAACTATATTTTTTTTGTATTTAAATAGTAGAAAAATGGTTATATGTTATTAGGAATATTTGTGAAATAGTTAAAAGTTTTTAAAATGCATAACAGCTTCTATATTCCTAACTTATATTTATTTGTTATGGTTTTAACTTATGCGAGATCGTATGGGCCTTTCACACTTTCTTTTGATTATAAATGCTTGGGATCCTAGAATTATTTATTTGTCTCGTTGCCAGCAATTATGATCTATTGATAACCCAATAGCTGGTTAAATTGATTAATCAAAATCATATTTTAGTCTTTTATATGTGTAAAAAATAATATTCGTATCCTTGATATTTATATGTAATTTAGAAGATTTAATTGATATTAATTCTTTAATATAGTACTTAAATGTAATTTTTTTAATCATTTTCTATATTTTTTTATGTCTTGTTATGCAACGTTTGAGTTAATTAATAATTAAAATTAACTACTTTAATGGCAGGATGCCAATATATCATTTTCAAATGTTAAAGGAGGAAATTGCATCATATGTAAATTTAGAATACTAGAAGCTCCTCCTAAGTGAATATAATCTTAATGAAATATGGGCGGATGTAATTTCCTATGATCTATTGTTAATTTAATTTTTGTTTCTTCAAATGTAGCATTATTTAAAGGCAAGAAAAATACATTATTCCCCTTAACTTTTAAATAAATGTAAATAATAATAATAACAATACTACTACTGGCGGCAGCGATGGTGGCAAGAGTAGGCAGCAACAGTAGCAGCTATAACAGTGATGGTAGTAATGGTGGTGGTGGTGGTGGTGGTGGTGGTGGTGGTAGGAATAGTAGCAATAACAACAATAGTAGCATTAGCAGTAGGAGTAGTAGTAGCAGCAACAGCAGCAATAATCATATGGTGGTGGTGGTGGTGGTAAAAAAAAAAATTACAAACATTTTTACCAAACTAAACCCCATTTTAGTGAGGGGGGTTAGGTTAGAAATGTAGATCACAAGTTCAAACTTTCTTGATATGAAAAAAGGAGGAAAAAAAATACACTCCCGAACTACTCTAATGTATACTCCCTAGTCTTAACTATAGTTGATATATGGTTGAAGGTAATTCTGCCAATAATAATAAAACCCAGTGCAATGATTCAAAATTTATGAAATTAAAATATTTGGATTCACTTCGATCAATGAAAAATCATGACTTTTCCACGTACAAGGAATCCATATACACATTTTATCGATCCACACACCCACCATCAATCACCCATCAAAGAAAAATCAACTAATATAGAAACGAAATTCCTCCATCGTGACCCTTATCATCAACTTGATCAAAGTCCCACTCCCACCCCATAGGAATTTAGGACACGCAATGTTCTTCAAAATTTCTTCTAATTAACAAGGATAGTTCCCAACTATTACAAACAAGGATGAAGGAGGGGACCAATAAGGTTCACGGGGGCAAAAGAAGGAGGGGACCAATAGTAGCACTACAACATTTTAAGGCTACAACAACAGTTAACTTTGCAACAGGCAAAAACCTGTTGCTTATTCTTATAATAGGCAATGGTTTTCTCAATGTTGCTTGTATGTAGTATTTTAAGCAGCATGTAAATAGGGACTACAACCTCCTCAAATTTTTACATTTTGCTTCGTAGTTTTTTATAAACTTATCCATTATTCATAAGTCGAGTTGGGAAAGATCATATTAGCAACAGAGCTTTCTTAACGAGTATTTAACACAATTACATGTATAAAATTTGAACTCAATTATTGATTAAACTAGTACAATCCCTCACCAATTGAGACATGTGCTTGTTGATTTTGCTTAGTATTATATAGATGTTATATACTTTTGACCTTCCAAAACGTATGAACGCTTTATAGTCTATATGCTTTTTAATCTCAACCCCTTGAATCCTGACTGACTCTATCACTTAATTATTACATATATAAGACTATAGTACCATTTACTCTCACATTTTTTTTCTAGTAAATTTTCGTCCCTTTTTCTCTTGTATTGTAAACCATATTTTGTGCATGCAGTTTAAAAATGTTTTATGATAATAAAGCAAGTTCTGCTCATAATATTCTCTTGTAAACCAACTGGCGTCCCATCTCACTTAGTTTAGGTGGCTTTCATAACCTTCACCAAGCACTTACAAGAATATCTTATGTCAAACATATTTATATTTAAAAATGATAACTTTTTAAATTATTTTATTTTTAAATAATATAGATATTAAAAAATTTAAATTATTTTAAATTATTAATTAAATTTACAAATTTTATGTCAAATTTATTAAAATATTTATTAATTTAAAATTATTTTATATTGAATCTATAAATTAACAAATGTAAGTTCCCCCACCCTTCCCCCCCTCCCTTTTTTTTTTTTTAACCTGGGCTGTAGGTAGCAGACTCAAGGCCCAGCCCTCTTAGGCATATAATTATTTAGGCGCGAACGGGCTGAAGGTATTTGCCGCCATCAAGTTTTCTTTCGTTCTCCATCATCTCAGCTGAGTCACGCACGCTTCATTTCCTTATCATGCTTCAACCGAAGATCTACACTCAACAACGAAATCTGATTGCAATTCTTCTATCAATTTCGCCTACGCCAGCAATTTCATTGTTTGTATCATTCCACATCTTAAACGGTGTTTACCAGTTTCTCGCCCAAGTTCTTTTGAGTCGAAATTTCTAATTTTATTGTGCTTTCTTCTGAATTGCTACTGAGTAGAAATAATGTGTTATTAAACCTGTTATCGTGACATCATTTTTGTAGTCCTTTGATTCTAGGGTTATGGCTTCTGTATTGTGAAGTGGTTTTTACCTGTGTTTGAGTCTGATTATTTCGTTTTGTTTCTGTAGTTAGTTGATTTGTATTTATGCTAATGTGTATTGGCGTTCAAACAAAACATTTGTAGTTGCGTTATGAATTAACTTATTACAATCACGCGGGAGAAACTAGCTTGGCACTGGGTTTAATAATATTTTACAAGCGTGCTTGATGTCCCAATCAATATTGAACACGATTTTAGTTTAGTTCCTATCTTGAAGTTGGGGCAGTCCAATACATCTACGTTTTTGTACAAAATTCTGAACAACATTGTTGCGTAAGTTATGTTTTTGTAGAGGTGTTTCAGTGCAAAAATCAGGATTAAAATTACTGTAACACTAACGTTTAGTTTTGGGCCTTGAATTTCTTTATAACAGCTATGATCCTGGGAATAATTCTGCAGTAGCTTTGCCGCACAAGCTAGGATTCTATCTTTGGCTTGAAACTACTACAAATTCTGTATTAAAATTGCTGTGCATGTTAGGATTATGTTTTGGGCCTGAAGTTTGTGCAAAGTTCTTCACTAAAATTGCTGCACGTGTGGGGATTCTCTTTTGGACTAATACTAAATACAGCCATGTTTTTCTTGGCCAAATACTGCCATGTTTTTTAATGCTAGAATTCTGCACATGGCATCACCTTGTCCTGGGACATGCTGCCATATATTTTCAAGATTTTTCCTTACAAGAAGGCTCTACTTATGGTTCATTTTCAGCGTGACAAGTCTTGCAAAGGATATAGCATTGTTTTCTGGTTAAAGTGGCCATTCGCTTTGAAATTGTGTTTAAAATTTTCTTTTGCGAGCAACTTCATGGGTTTAATATTATCTGGGGAAAGTGCTATTCTGTGAGGGAAATGAGATAATTCCGTTGACTTCCAAGACTGCCACCAGTCTCCACCAACACTTCTAAAACCATTAGTTGCCCCTTTCTTGTGTTTCATTCCCAAATCATTAGTCACCAACACTTCCTGTCGTAGAAAGCTCTATGAAACTCTACCTAGAACTGGAAAAGTGCCCCAGCTGCCCTTATTACTTTCTGCCCAATGTGTCAAACCATTTACCTGTGCTGCATCTCCCTTTTCCCGGCACCCAAGCCTATGCCTCCTCACATGTACCTTATGATTGGCACCCTATCAAGTATCAAGGAATAAATTTGTATGGATTTGGGATTTATTATGAGGTTAAAATTTACTAGTTTTAATTGGGAAAATTGGTATTTAAACAAATGGGATTGTTTGGGATTATCATCAACAGATTAGTTGATTTGTAAATTTGTATTTAGCTTTCCAAATTTCCTTTCCATTTTTTCTCTCTCCCCCTTGAGTTCCCCTATGGGTAGGGGAAGATCATCTGTACTTATAATTGGAGTCATGCATGCAAAGCATCTGTAACCCAGGTTTTTCACGATCCAATCTACACCGCATGATAATTTCAGTAAAAGGTCAAGCAGCCATTGTTGCTCATAGCTTTAGTATTTCATCTTCTCTTCTATGTTTATTTGAAATTTCACTAGCCATCGACTGTTCTTGTAAAACATGGCATTTGATTTTGAACTTTGACTCTGTGACTGAATTTTGTATCTTAGTGTTTTCAAAATTATCTTTTCATTGCTATAATTTAGCATATCCTCTGCTTGTTTGGAAGCGGTTTGTGACATTTGTTTTGTGCCCCCGCGTTTCCAGAAATAAGCATGAAAGGGAAAATCTTGTAATTATTTAATGGATGGAAGTCTAATTGGTTGAGCCAATTCTTTTCTTTAAATTTTCAGTCACCTATCATTGAAATTCGGAATCTTCTTATTGAACATAAAGCTTTTATTAAAACAAAAAATATTCGTTGCTTATTTGTTTACTTTACAGAATTGCACAACTTGATAGCATTTGTGTCTTCTCATGCTGTTTTCTATCATCTTTCTTCTATTCGTGCAGTTATCGCTCACTGATGAGTGCACCTAGTAAAAAATTCGAATATTGAGCTTTGATCAAATTACTTGCGTATTCTTGCTATCAAGGGTAAAGCTTGATTCTTGCCCATAGAGGTCACTTTAATTTGTACTTAGTGAGGCTGAGAATGGGAGAACCACAGCGGTTTTCTAGAGGAGCAGAAGCACTCCTTCATCTCTCTCCTGGATCTTCAGTTTCTGTTGCTTATCATCCTCTTTTTGGTCCTCATGATGATCTCATCTTCCTAGAGCTTGACGAGAAACTTGTCCCGGAATTTCTGCATGAAAGGTAAGCAACGGCTGACATTAGATGCCAACAGTCTGTTTCAAAGGTTTATTACTATTTCTCTGCCCTCCTATTTCAACTGGGTTCATGATTTTGTACCCTGTTCCAGGGTGGTTGTAAGAGGACAACCAGATGAAGATGCAGTTCTTTGCACTCAGTCCAAAACTTATTCTGTCAAGTTTGTTGGAACTTCCAATTCTGTATTCCTTGTGCCACCATATCAATCCGAATATCATCAACCTTCACAAGAGAGTGATGATCATAATCATCATGACCAAAAAGTTGTTGCATCTGTGATCAAAGTTGTACCTGGTAACATGGAGCTTGTTGAGGTTGCTCCTAGACTTGATAAACTCAGGTCTCTTCTTTCAGAGAACCCTTACAGGTGTGATGAGTTAGAAGTAGAATATTTAGAAGGCAATCATGAATCAAGAACAGGATTATACAATTGGAATGACCTCGTTGGCAATATTCAAGCTAGTGATGATGAAATAAGGTCTGGACTACGGGAACTTTCTGCAGTTGAGATTAATGGGCATTGGAGATTAGTGGATGAGACTTATATGTGCACCATTCTTAGAATGCTTTTGCACAATTCAGTGTTGAATGACTGGTCGCTCAATGCTCTTAATGAAGATGAAATTGTGAATGTTCTTGAATCAGATGGATTTCCAAGGGTACTTGCAAAACACTGTTTGCATGTATTTGGTGAGAAAGCAAATGACTGTCTGGGTAGCTTTGTCTGGAAATTGGATGACAAGCGAGTGTGCGTGCAGTTTGCAAGGGAGATCCTGACAGGAGGAAAGAAAAAGTTGGAGAGTTTCATGGATGAATGGAGGAAGAAGATTCCAGATGGCATGCAACCCACTTTAGATTTTTTGGAAGGAGAAGTTCTGACTGAAAGGGTTGGTGTTGAGACTTGGATTCATGCCTTTAGTGTTTCATCTTTGCCCTCCACTCCGGCAGAACGTTTCTCCCTTCTTTTCAGAGAACGGAAGAAGTGGGATTGGAAGGATCTTCAACCTTACATCAGGTTATATTTCTTTATAGATTTACAGGAAAATATAACTATTAGTCCTTGTAGTTTTAACATGTTTTGACATAAGTCCCAGTAGTTTTTTTCATTGCTTTGGGTCTTCTAGTTTATCCCATCTGCAACATTAGTTTCTCTATTTTTAAATATAACCAAAAGAATGACGAGATGATACTAATGATGTTAAACACGTTGACCTGGGGTTAATATCATTAATTTACACTAGGCTAGATTTATAATTCAGCAAATTAACAACGCTATTCACCCTATTCTGTTTCATGTTTCAATTGATTGAATAATAATTCCACTTCAGTATAGATTAATGACATTAGTAACAATTCAGCATCTTTAACATCATTATTGTCATCTCATTGTCTTTCTGGCCATATTCAAAAATAGAGGAACTAACACTGCAGACGAGATAAACTAAAGGGACCTGGAGCAATGAAAATAATATAGGAGCCTATACCAAACAATGTTAAAATATCGGGATCATTAGTTATGTTTTCCCTACATTTATATAGTACATGTTCGTTTTTATGTGGGAAACTGTCAAATCCATGGTTTTGGTGGAAGCACTCTCAGAACCATGGTTTTGCTGATTTTCAACTTGAAATGAAATACACTGATGGCTTAAACAGCTATAATCCTTTTCGATTTGAAATTAATTCACCTTTGGAATGTTTCAGGGATCTAAACGTACCAGGTCTTTCTTCAGAAGCTTTGCTTCTCAAATACACCCGAAGAACGCAACCAACTTCAGACGCAGAACCAGTATTCAGTGCAAGATAATAGTCTCGTGTGTACTGAATTGAATTCCCTTCATGCTTATTTTTATTAAATTTTATTGAAGTGAAATCGAGATTTGTTTATGATTTAAGAAAAGCACAGCAGAGAGAAGTGGGGATGGAAAAAAGCTTTTGCTGCTCGACAATCAACATACGTCAAATGCTCTGCACATCTTGCACTGCCAAAATATTATAATAGAATTTTATTATGTACTCTTCGGCAAAATTATAAAATTAATACTTCCATATTTAGCTAAAAGTCTATGTTTAATACTCCTCGGATCCTTTTTATTCGGCTAGAAGTTTATGTTTCACTAATTGTAACCATGTTCCTTTCAGTTATTTGTTTTTTCAAAAAATAAATAAATGAATAAATAAAAATGACCAGAAGGAGTATATATTTCATTAAAGTTAGGGAAAATGACAATAAAGTCTCAAAAGATTAATTTTATACGAGTTAAGTCCCAACTAATTCTAAAAGGCCAATAAAGTCCCAGAGTCCTTAAATGGTATTTTGATGTCACAGGAAAAGACCGAAACACCCTTCTTCAAGTAAAAGCTCGTTTTCTTCTCTGCCTGAATGAGTCTTAGTGTGCGACGCGAAGCTCTATTCTCTGAGTCTGCGTTCTTTGATCCATACGGTGAACGAGGGCTTGGTTGGGCAAGGAAGATTGATGTTTCTGGGGGCAGCACGCATAGCCGGCAACTGAGAGTTGAACACTTGAAGGAGAAGATGGAAATGTTGGCGGCAGTGACAGAAGTGAGAATCCAAATTTTAAAGGATAAAGCTCCAGTAATTTGCAAGTGAGAAACTAAATTTTGCAATGCCCTTAGAAACAATTTGCAACTGGTACTTCAAATTTTGAATTGAAGAACTATTAAATTCGTTGAAGAGTTAAATTCTTTAGGACAAAGCTCCAGTAATTTGCAAGTGAGAAACCAAATTTTGCAATGCCCTTAGAAACAATTTGCAACTGGTACTCCAAATTTTGGAACGAAGAATTATTAAATTCGTGGAAGAGTTAAATCCTTTGGGACAAAGCTCCAGTAATTTGTAAGTGAGAAACCAAATTTTGCAATTCCCTTAGAAACAATTTGTAACTAGTACTCGAAATTTGGGATCGAAAAACTCTGATTTGTGAAAAACAACATGGGACTTTATTGGCCTTTTAGAATTACTTGGGACTTAACTGGTATAAAATTAGTCTGTTGGGACTTGCAAATTTTATACCAGTTAAGTCCCAAGTAATTCTAAAAGGCCAATAAAGTCCCATGTTGTTTTTCACAAATCAGAGTTCTTCGATCCCAAATTTCGAGTACTAGTTGCAAATTGTTTCTAAGGGAATTGCAAAATTTGGTTTCTCACTTGCAAATTACTGGAGCTTTGTCCCAAAGGATTTAACTCTTCCACGAATTTAATAGTTCTTCAATCCAAAATTTGGAGTACCAGTTGCAAATTGTTTCTAAGGGCATTGCAAAATTTGGTTTCTCACTTGCAAATTACTGGAGCTTTGTCCTAAAGGATTTAACTCTTCAACGAATTTAATAGTTCTTCGATTCAAAATTTGGAGTACCAGTTGCAAATTGTTTCTAAGGGCATTGCAAAATTTAGTTTCTCACTTGCAAATTACTGGAGCTTTATCCTTTAAAATTTGGATTCTCACTTCTGTCACCGCCGCCAACGTTTCCGTCTTCTCCTTTAAGTGTTCAACTCTCAGTTGCCGACTATGCGTGCTGTCCCCAGAAACATCAATCTCCCCTGGCCCAACCAAGCCCTCGTTCACCGTATGGATCAAAGAAAGCAGACCCAGAGAACAGAGCTTCGCGTCGCACACTGAGACTCGTTCAGGCAGAGAAGAAAACGAGCTTTTACTTGAAGAAGGGTGTTTCGGTCTTTTCTTGTGACATCAAAATACCATTTAAGGATTTTGAGACTTTATTGACCTTTTAGAATTAGTTGGGACTTAACTCGTATAAAATTAATCTTTTGGGACTTTATTGTCATTTTTCCTTAAAGTTATGTATGAGTTTGAAATTAGGACCAACTTTTCAAGAGTCAAGTTTGAAGGGTTTGGGCCCAAAAAACCTGAAAATATTTTAGGGTTAATCAAACCTGGAAAAATTTGTTGGGTTTAGTGATTGAATCGGCTGAAAGTTTTTATATGTTTTTGTTGTTAGTATAAAGTAATTAGCATCATCTTTTGATAAATTTTTCCTTTTCAATATTCTGGTAATATATATACAAAAATATTTTACCTGTATTATATATAAATTTTTTTGTATTATGTATTATAGTTTTATATATAAATTCTAGCATTCTAATATTTATATTATGTATAGTTTTTTTTAATTTTTAATATTAACTAACTGTATATATAAAATTAAAAAAGGATACAGTTAGTTATTTAAAATATTCCAACACGTGACATGTCTAATCACGTATGTATACGGGAAATACTAATATATATATATATATATATATTAGTATTTCCCGTATACATACGTGATTAGACATGTCACGTGTTGGAATATTTTAAATAACTAACTGTATCTAAAAGAGGATCATGGAATTAGGAAATTATTAGATCATGAATTAGGAAATTACCAAATTGAAAGAATTAAAAATAAATTATATTCATCCTTTAAAAATAATTTTGTATATAAAATTTTACGTGATTTTACATATAAGCAGAACAATGGAAGATTATTTAGCATCTGGAATTTACCAGCTAAAATTGTCTATAATCACTTGAAATATTGTTAGAAGACAAAAAGAATGCCTCAAAACATATGAGAATTAAACCAAAACAATATATATGTAAGAGAATGTGCTCATAAAAAATAAGTTAAATTTATATCCGAATTTACCTTTTTCACCATAGACAACTCTAGCATACAATATGAAGCGTTGTTGTCTTGTAATAGTAAGGGCAATGGTATTTTAATTTCTAAAGGATGACGGCAAAAGTTTAAAGTAAAAATTTAATAAGAGTATCCCACTCACATACATATCTCATGATTCTAAATTTTAAAGATAATCAAATAATACAATTGAGATGGATCAAATATAAAGACTAATCATCATTAATTTTGAAAGTAGAAAACTTGAACCCCATGCTCTTATTTGTTGTCTTTTTGACATCAAATATTTGGGTTGAAAAATATTATAAATTATACATTAGCATACAAAAAAAAAGAGAAAGAAATGAGATATGGCCAAAGCAAAACAAGATAAGAAACTCAACCTTGACAAAAACCTTATAGAACAAACACACGAGGTGTCCTAGTTGTGGGATAAACTATCTTGAAGCATTATAAGCATGTCTCAAATTGACTTAGGTATAATAAAAGACTTTGCTAGCTTGCATTCTTTCAACAAAGAACAAAAAAAAAAAAACAGAAGTAACAGTCCACAATATGTAAGATGTTTGAACATATGCATTAGTTTGTAATTATAGTTGAAACTTAAATATTCAGAACAACAAAATTCTGAATTATAAATTAGGTTCCTGCCCTAGCATGTTTCTTGTGGGAAAGTGACCCATTAATCAAATATTACCTCTTCTTCTATAGTTTGTTCGTTGCTTTTCCTCTCTTAGATTCTCAATAAACATGGACTTATTTCCTAATATTCATAGACATCCTAAAAAGTATACAAATGCGTGCACCTGTCCATCACCTTTGATCTATCTGTGGATTTGTGTGTCTAAAGATATAAATGATAGTTATTTACTCTACTCCTTGGCAATGAGGAGTTATAAAGGCAAAAATTATACCAACTTCACCATGTTTCTCATAAAATGCGCATACTCCCTCTATTTAAAAATGTAAGACCATTTTTGAGGAGTTGGATGTTCAAAAATATAAGACATTTTTAGTCTTTTGAAGTGTAATCATTATTTTTTTTCCAAAAGTACCCCTATTAATAATGACTTTATATTTATTGTAAAGTGTTTAATAGAGGTAAATATAGAAAGATGAGGTTAATTGAAAAGTAGATAATTACTTTATTAGGAGGTGAGATTTGATTAAAAATAATTAAAATATCTTATATTTTTGAACGAAGGGAGTAGAAAATAAAATTCCTGCATAGTACTAGTGCTTTATGTATGTAGTATCCAAGTTCCACAATTAAATTATAATTATAATTAAAAATTAGAATTAATTTCACAAATTGGATTGAAATGGGGGGAGGTCATTATACTTAAAATATTTTAAGATTTTTAAAACTTAAATTTAAATTTTTGAATTAGTTGAGAAGTTATGTAATTGATAAGATAACAAAATGAGGGAGAATATTTTGGAATAAGGAAAAATTGATCATGGTAACTTCCTCATTATGAATTTAAAAACTAAATCAATGTATCTAAGTTATAAGTAACCCATTCACATTGCATGTCAAAATTATAATTAAAAATTAAAATTAATTTCACAAATAGGATGTGGGGTGATGAAGTTAATTTTGAGATTTTTTAAATATTAAAATTTAAAATTGTGAATTAGTTGAGAAGTTATGGTTGAGATTATGGGAGCGAATATTCTAGGCAAGGGAAATTAAATCAGTTTTTGTCAATTTTAGAAATGATGTTAATATTATTTTTTAAAAAAATAGAAATTAATGGTGGTGTATAGCCTAGAATTGCAATATTTAAAAAAAATGCTAATATGTCAAGCTTAGAAGAGTGCTTGTTATTCTTTTATATATATATATATATATATTTACATACTTATTTATAATTTTATCTTTATTTGATGAATACATTAATTACTGTTTTGGGTTCATGATTTTAGATTATTATTAACTTATTTAAATTTAAATATTACGAAACTTGTTAGTAATGCTTTCTTGTTTTGGTAATTTAGTAATGCTTTCTTTAGTTCTTATTATATTTATTTATTATGCAATTATTTGTCATATAAAATTGAAAATATATTAATTTTATTACTAGTGGTCGAATCATAATTTGATCGCTATCAAGTTTATAAACCCTGCTTTAATGTTATAAATGAGTTACAAATATTAATTTAAACAATTACAAAATAAAAGTTCTAGTTACACTTGAAATTTAGGGTCTATAATTTTTTGTTTTTAAAACAATTAAAAACTCGTTTGAATAAGTATTTTAAATTTGATTGCTTTTCAAATTGTTCTCTCTCTTTTTTTTAAACAAAAAAAATAGAAATATCTTAAAATTGTTTTCATCTTATTTTTTTATTTTTAAAATATATTATATTTAATTATTGAAAATTACAGTCACCTTAACTAATTATTAT